AGTTTGACACCTGGAACTTATGAAATACCTGTATGAGATCTAACGTTTTCTGTTCTAAGTTTGACACCTGGAACTTATGAAATACCTGTATGAGATCCAACTTTTTCTGTTCTTAGTTTGACACATGGAACTTATGAAATACCTGTATGAGATCTAACGTTTTCTGTTCTAAGTTCGACACCTGGAACTGACGAAACACCTTATGAGATCTAACGTTGTATGTTCTTAGTTTGACACCTGGAACTTATGAAATACCTGTTTGAGTTCTAACGTTTTCTATTCTAAGTTTGACACCTGGAACTTATGAAACACCTGTATGAGATCTAACGTTTTCTGCTCTAAGTTTGACACCTGGAACTTATGAAACACCTGTATGAGATCTAACGTTTTCTGTTCTTAGTTTGACACCTGGAACTTATGCAATACCTGTATGAGATCTAACGTTTTCTGTTCTTAGTTTGACACCTGGAACTTATGCAATACCTGTATGAGATCTAACGTTTTCTGTTCCATGTTTGACACCTGGAACTTATGAAATACCTGTATGAAATCTAACGTTTTCTTTCTAAGTTTGACACCTGGAACCTATGAAGTACCTGTATGAGATCTAACGTTTTCTGTTCAAAGTTTGACACCTGGAACTTATGAAATTCCTGTATGAGATCTAACGTTGTCTGTTCTAAGTTTGACACCTGGAACTGATGAAACACCTGTATGAGATCTAACGTTTTCTGTTCTAAATTTGACACATTGAACTTATGAAATACCTGTATGAGATCTAACATTTTCTGTTCTTAGTTTGACACCTGGAACTTATGAAATACCTGTTTGAGATCTAACGTTTTCTATTCTAAGTTTGACACCTGGAACTTATGAAATACCTGTATGAGATCTAACATTTTCTGTTCTAAGTTTGACACCTTGAACTTATGAAATACCTGTATGAGATCTAACGTTGTCTGTTTTTAGTTTGACACCTGGAACTTATGAAATACCTGTATGAGATCTAACGATTTCTCTTATTTGTTTTTGTTTCAACTGGCACATTTGTTTATAACAAAGGACCATATACAGCATCGTACATCGAATACATCTTAAGAGAGGGTTGTATTCATTTAAGAAAATAGGTAGAATTAGTCAAGATCTTTACCCCAAGTCATCTCAAAAAGACAACAACAATGGTTTGGTTTGGTATAAATATCCTGTATGAAAATGTTTGAAGCTCGATATGCACATATGCTTACTCTTGATATCGTGTTCATATTAAGGAGTACAGTTGAAACATACATCGCTGGATAACGCATCGTATTAATATGTGGTGTGCATATTGTATGTGCGTGTGTGTAATTCTCTACTTCACAGTAAGCAACTCGATGAAAAAATGATACAATGACGTTACAGGAAAATCAAATATGAGATAAGCATCTCTTTCAGTCAGGGTATGTCGGCGAAATCCTAACCTACGGATTCTTTGATGTCATACCCTAGGCTTGAAGCTAGGAAGACTCAGGTGAGACGGCTCAGAGTAAAACTCCTCGGGACTGATTTGTCTTCGTCATAAACTATTTTTTTATGGATTCAAGTAGTAACAATTTGTAATTATATTTATATTGTCAGCATATATAAGATTTAAACAATGAACGTGTACATAACATTAAATTGTCGATATAGCAATTTGTACTTCGGGCTTCTTGATAAATTATCACATTGTATTTAAGCATCATCATAGCTTAAACGTAGTTTTACTATAATGTTAAAAAAAAAAAAAATGCAGTGCAACTTCAATTGACGGCATATAGTAAAACGCCTTAACCCTGACCTCTGAGTATACATATAAACTGCCATATTGTTCATGCAATTTAAAATGTAAAAGTAGTTTCAATAGAATGTACCTAATTATATGAATTTGTGCAATACAAATATTTAAATATATTTAGATGGTTTTGATGTTCATTTTATTAGATGCATCATGCAATATCCCACAGTGATACTTAATGCAAAGATAACCTGTATCTATAGAAACTTTGGTATTTATTTGGTATTTATTTGTTCCTTAATTTCTCTTGTACTGTATGGTTTTAAATGCTTAAACACATTAAAGATTTAAAAATAAATTGTATAGAATTTCTTGTTTATTCAATTTCCTTTGTATTTTTTTGTATTGAGGTTGCTTGATGTATGATTCGAGGGTTTTATATTACAGTGCGAGGAATTGTAATTTGGATATTTTCAGTAACACTGAATTACTGTATATTTAAGGTGTATTAGGTAACACTGTATACTTGTATGCTTCGAATATCCCTACTGCATTGATACATGTGTGTTTTAAAGATGAAAAATAAATAAGTTTGACATACTTTTGTCTTCTAGCTAGCAACTCTAATTCTGTGACCAACATGTATTTTAAACTCAGTCTAAAAGAAAATGGTGGAGGAGTGTCTGTGTGCGTTTCTTCGTACTTCAGCCATTTTGAAACATACTGTTTCAGGAACCCTGACGAGAAAACATCGAATTCAGAATATATGTTGTAACTCGCTGTTGGTACTTCTGCTACAACATTAAGCGTATATCCTCCTCCCCAACCTATTTTAAGGTTTACAAATCAACTTTTATTAAAGTTACCCAGAATAGGGTAAGAAGGATTTAAAAGCATAAATAATTACCAATATTTCTGATCAGAAAGATCAAAAAATTAAATCTATCAAACATTCTCGAAAACCTATTATTGGTCATTTGTTAATGCATAACAAATATGAACATAATTGTTTTGCGAAAATTCAAACTGTCATTCTGGTTGTGAAATTGTCCTATTGTCGATTTATTATCTGTGTGTGTGTGATTGCGTGTGTGTTTTAAAACCAATTTTTACAAAATACGAGGTGATAGACTGTATTGGTGGATTTTTGGTTCCCGAGGTTTTCTGTAACTTTCATAGACAAGCTATCCTGTTTCAAATGTTGGCATGATATACACTTATGTGAAATAAGTCAGTACCACTCTTAAATTTTGAAATTCATAAAGGAAAAAAACTGCTGCATGATGCAGTTTAATTAGGCTTTGCCATGCTGTATCAATCACTTAATTTTCAAGAAGCAACCTGTGTGTGGATTTTATGTTTTTGATATTCTATGCTCGACTTACTCGTTATCCCAGTTAAATTGAATAGGTTTGCTTCATCTTAACTTACAGTGTTCCTTCGTCGCCAAAGAGGATGGCCACTAAAGATCCAATGATCCGGTTACAAGAAGTTTTACAATGTGCCATATGTCAGGAAAGTTACACCGATCCCAGACAACTACACTGCGGACATGTGTTTTATTTTGAATGCATCGATACACACTTCAAGACGCGTGGTAAAAACTGTGCACCGTGCCCAGTTTGTAGATAAAAAAAACCGGGACACAAACAATCTACAAAAGTCGTTACCCCTTCGACAACCGTTGGATATACAGCACACGACAGATCGAGCCTGTGAAACGTCTGGCTGTAATCAGAACAAGGCTCCAAACTTGTGTTTTACATGTAAGCAGTGGCTGTGTGATACCTGTAAGTCACAAAGATGTCTTCTCGTAGAAGGTGAAACAGCGCACAATGCTTTTATAAAATCAGACATCGGTCCCGAATTGTTTGATATCGTGAAGAGAAATCGACATAGGCAATGCTATATGTATCACTCCCATGAAGTAGAATTATACTGTCTTCAGTGTAGAATGTTGTTATGTAAACTATGTCAAACAAACAGCCACCTACACCATACGCTGATAGACATAACAGCACAGTCACGTGATACCCGTGAAAACTTGGAACAGACGGCGGCATTACTACAGAAAAAACAGCAGCAGCATAGATTTGATCTAAAAATGTACGAGGACCTCCAAACCATTGTCAATGTGGAACTATTTAATGCCAGTGATTGTCAGAAAGTGATGGCAATGTGTTCACGTGACATCGATAACTGTGACAAAGTCATTCAGCTGATAACCCAACTGTTGAAGTTTGGCTCGGATGTGGTCATCATTGACACGTATCGCAACCTCGAAGAAAGGATAGAGACGGAACGTGGACAATGTCATTCACTTGAACCGCTGTTTACTGAACTGAACAGCAGGACGACTGGCAATAAACACATCATGGCGACATGGGTTGGTGCTTGTCACGGTGATCAACGGAAACATCCTATTTCTGACTCTGGTGTGGACGATCTCTCTGTGAGTGAATGAAGCCTAGAGGAAGGAATTCCTCTTGAAGATAACTCTTGTGAGATATTCAATTGTGTCAGCAGCGCACAAACACAACTTCTGTGTTTATCGTGTATGAAATGGATTGGTGAAGTATGCTCAAGAAGACGTTGTCTTAAGAATGATTCCGACGCCACACACGAGGAGATTCCTTTAGCTGAGATCGATAGACACATATATTACGTTATAATGAGAGATAGAAACTTTTCTTGCAAATCACATCCGACCAACGATGTCACACTTTTTTGCACACAGTGCAACATTCCATTGTTCAAAACATGTCGCGTCAACGGTCATTTGGGTCATCCGACGATGAAAATCTCTGACGGATCTCAGGTCTGTTCTAGAAAATTAAAATGGTACGAAGAAAAACTACATTAACAAGTCCAAGATTATAAAACAACCAGACACAAATTTCTTGAAATCCAAAATTCACCATGCGCAGAAGCACTTAATCCATCGTATTGTGAAAATATCACCAGCAGGTGTGAATCGGGAATAGACGCATGCGATGATTTCGTCAAACGCATCACAATTCTACTTCATTATGGTAGCCCCTCTGTCAGCTGGTATGTTTTATTAGTGACACATTGGATCAAGTGAACAGTTTTGCTGATGATGCAGCAAGATCTGATGATAAAGCAGAGACTGAAAACACAGGCGAAGAGGTTCAACAGGAAATACATGTCAACGGTCCAGAGAGTAACACAGCGGATACCTCAGTGGTAAATGGTCTGGAGGATAACAGAACGGCTATCCAAATGGTCAATGGTCCGGAGAGTAATATCTCAGTTCGGCTACGTGTTACAACATTTGTGCGCAATTCTGCGAGTGAAATGCCAAACAATCCAAATTCTAGTGAGGAATGTAACGTTAGGGCACACGTAGGATATTTAATGTCGGTATGGGGGAATATTAAGGAGATGTTGCAAACTATGTCACGATTTGTGTTTGGTTCTTAAGTTAATAATGATGAGAAATATTGAAAGGGAAAGCAATATTCTAAGAAATACAGTCAATAATCACTACATATTTGTACCGCTGGCGTTCGAGCAAACTAGAGAAAAAGTGTTTTCTTCTCCACATATTTCCACGCTTTATCATTTTCTTCTTTATTCTTTCTATGCCTTCCCTTCACTCATACCTTGAGCGACGAAGGGACAGGACGTCCCGCTAGTGTGCTACATGTACACTAGCTAGGTTTACAGAGCCATGGCGACCGTTTCTTTATAAAGAACTGACATGATTTCTACCAATATATATCGACACCCGGCATCACATGATGAGTGAATGATATCTATAATTATTATTACTAGAATTATTATTAAATATATATTTTACAGAAATTATTCAGATATGAACGTAACCGTAACGTTTGGAAATGTAGTCTGTAGATCTAGGTACATGACAGGGTCAGTATTTTATAATTATAAGTTCTCATACGAACCATATCTATATGAAGGGATACATTTTTACCAATTCTATACAGTTTAATAATGCTCTCTTTATATTTTTGGTTCGTCTATCGTCAATAATGTAAATAATGTAAATGTGTAAACGTTAGGTGCATTCTTTTCCTAATGTTGTCAATTGTATTAGTCGTATTGTCAAAACCTGTTTATATATATATTAGGGTTTTTCTTCCCACGGGGAGAATAAACTTATCAAATGTACCAGATGTGTTGGCGTCTTCTTACTAAAGCAAAGAACCTGAAAATTAAACATGGTTCTTATGGAATTCCTGTATCAGATAAGATTATCACCAATGTTTAGTTGTATCAATAATCTATACAAAAAGAAACCGAAGAGAAAAAATACGAGTGGAATATATCACGATTCTCCACAATAAAAACTTGTAGGCGATGACTGTTGGTAATACGAGGAAACGCTTGTGTGCGATTTGTTAGCGACGAATTGTAAAATGGAGTATTTTTGATTTCAGTATTGGTAGGGAAATGTTTGAAACTCGACCATGGAAGCACGTGTGACTCTGTATGACGAGTGTAGATTTTGAAGTACATGTGTAACAGAGAAGGTAACTACTTGCAGCTGTTATAAAATCATTTGTTGTTACAATTGTTTCCAACAAAGTATTAATTTAATCATTGAAATAATTTGTCATAAATCAAGCAACAAAATATCCTCACTGAATAAATAGTATAACACGTTCACGAAGGGTAAGTCGTGTTTCCTAAATCACAGATTTATTAACGCGTATCACCATTGTTTGCGCCGAAAATAGCGTTGCAATGCCATCTCAATGAATCTGTAAACCGACAAATAATGGTGAACGCGGATATTGTCCAATTAATCTCGTTCAACGCTCAGGCGAGCTCGAGGCTAGGTAGAGGCTAAGTGTGACGTGCCCTAACGCTCCACCTATAAATACCGAACGATCTCTATGGACGACATGTCGGGTGATTTAGATAGTCGATCCAAAACACACACATTTGTATGCTAACAGGACTGTTATATACTGGTACATTATATTGTTGAAATATTACGCCAACGCAATGACGCTGTTAAATATTCAACAATGTTTTGTCAGTGGCAGCTACATTTGTAAATGCTCTACAGCTTGACGTTATGACAATCCCGCATGGAAAATGCCAAACGCCATTTCACTTTAAACTTGAGATAGCTGTGACCTAAACGCATACGTTTTGGTGAAAATTGTTATCAGTTTTCAGTCGCAACGGGATAACAGAAATAAAAATTACTGTTTATAATCAGTTTCTGGTGAAATACACGAGTTGTATTCAAACCCTAGAATTGAAATTTCTCATGGACAGGATATCGTTTAATAATTTTCAAGACCCAAAAACATTGGTCTATTTTTATCCTACCCCCACCACCCACCCCG